ACACACACACACACACACACACACACACACACACACACACACACACACACACACACACACAGACTCACACACAAACAATGCACACTCGCACACACTCACCCACACACGCACCCACACACACTCTCATTCTTGTCCCATCAGGTGGTGTTTGTGGTGTCTGTGAAGAAGACGGTGTACGTGGTGGCAAAGCATGATCTGCGCGGGAAGGGTGTGATGTTCAAGTGCCACGGCTTCAAGGTCAAGTCCACAGCCGTGGCAAAGCAGCTGGCCCAGGAGATTGCCGTCATCTGCAACCAAGTCTTCAAGAAGGTGTGTGGGTGGGTGGGGGGAGGGGGAGTGAGAGAGAGTGTGTGTGTTTGTGTGTGGGAGTGTGTGTTTGTGTGTTCTGTGCATGTGTGTGTGTGTGGTTTCTTGTGCCTGACATCCACCATGTCTCCCCTTGCTATTGTGCAGCTGCGGCAAACGCGGACGTTTGTCCGATCACAAAGCACAACAAAGCAGCCGTCCGGTACGGGTACAGGAGCGCATGTATCGCGTGTGCTTGCTCGCATGCATGCGTGCGCGAATGTACAAACTTGTTTGAGACGTTGTGCGCGCGATGTAGGTTGAGCAACTGACTGCCGCACACACACACACACACACACACACATGTGCGTGCAGTGTCTGCTGAGGGTGTGCCGCTGCGCAACAAGACGGATCCCGACACGCGCGCGCTCAAGCGCCTCATTGCACAGACCCGCATCAGCGTCACACAGGGCGCAGACGTACGTCATGTGTCACGATAACAGTGTCGTAGTAGTCGTCGTGGTGGTGGTGGTGGTGGTGGTGGTGGTACGGCAGTGCTTGTTGTGACAGCCTCTCGTTCGCTTCGTCCTGTGCTATTCACGTGCGTGTCATGCAAGTAGTGTTCTTCATGTCGTGGCACTGCTGGGACTATTTGTTCACTGTGCTCCTGTGGCAATTGTTGTTTGCGCCCATGTGATGTTTGCATGTGTTGCACGTCACCGATGCCGACCACCACTCCAACAGCACGTGGATGACGTCTCAGACAAGGACGAGGTAACGCGTGCATTTCTGTTCTCCATCCTGCGCCGATTTCCTTCTCAACAATCGCGATGTTTGGGAGCATCCACTCGTGCGTCATTCACACACACACACATACATACATACATACACACACACGCATACATACACACACACGCACACACACAACAACAACAACAACACCACCAACACGACAGGAGGAGGCTGAGACGATGCTGTGCGGCCCGGAGCCCGCGGTGCCGGCAGAGGCGGAGGAGGGCGGTGCGGACTTTAGTGTTGTGGACGAAATCATTCGACAGCTGCAGATGTCCATCCTCGCCGTCGACGCTGCCATCGGTCCGTGATGATGATCGTGGTGGTGGTGGTGGTTTTCTGTTGTCTTTAGCGCCAACTCCTGCCTTTTCACCTGTCAAGCGCTTGTCCTCAAATCTCTTCCACCCCTGCAGTGTTCTCTCATCCACCCGTTGTGCTGTCCGACTGTTGCATTTGTGTGTTCATGTGTGTGTGTGTTGCAATGCACGATTTGTGCTGTGACTGCAGAACAACGCGGTGAGGCGCCGTCGTCATCACAGCAACAGCAGCAACAACAGCAGCAACAACAGGAGCACGGCGCAGAGGAGGACGAGGAAGATGAGGAGGTTGCGGAGGTGGAGGCCGAGGACATTGACTTTGAAGAGTTTTCAGACGATTTCGCTCGCATGACACTTTACCTCCACGGCGACACCGTCCGAAACGTGAGGCACTTGTGCAAGCCGTGTGAATGTAGGTGTGTGTGTGTGTACGTGGGTTGGCGTCGAGATGAGTGCTTGTTGGTGCTTGTTGCCACGTGTACCTCGTACTGACTATTAGTGCACGTGCCCTGGTTTGCGTTTTTCCCGACAGCGGCCGATGCCCAAGTATGCGGAGGTGACGCTGGACAGCGATCTGTTCGACCTCACGTCCATGGTGTAACCGGTGCCGCTAAAGTGACGCGGCAAACTCTCCTCGACACATGCACACGCACACACACATGTATGTTCACCGCTGTTGCAGGCTCGTGCTTTCTGTCATGTCCATCTGTTCCCTGGTTGGTGTGTTGCTTCTACGTCGGCGTTTGGAGGTTTTGGGCTTGATGTTGGAGTGGAACAGAATGAAACGAAAACGCAAGCACGAAACGCAAACGAAATGGAACGAGTGGAAACGAGAGACAGCGGGATGGGAACATCAAAGAATTAAGCATCAGCAGATAGGGAACGTTGCACGTTAGGAGTCAACAGGGCACGAAACGACACAAAACCATCAGTAAGTACGCGAATGTGAGAACGAGAACAGACATGAACGCACATCAGGTAGGAGGAACAAAATGGGAACGAGGCCGATGTGGCAAACTGTCGTGAGCCACAAACAAGCAGCGTTGACAGGCAGACACAAAACGTGGAAGACAGGATGGGGAATTAGGAAAGAACGAACAGGTGCAAAGCACACAAGGAACCATACAAGGAAGCAAGTAGTCATCATCGTCGTGTTGGAGAGGGCAGGGATGGCCAAAACCAGGAAAGCAGCAAGTAGATGTGTGTGTGTGTGTGTGTGTGTGTGTGTGTGTGTGTGTGTGTGTGTGTGTGGAAGAGAAGAAGAAGAAGGGAGGGCTGGGCAGCAGATTGTATGCAAAGAACAAGCAAGAAGAAGCGACCAGAGTGAAGGGTCACCAAGATTGTCTTGGTTCGTCTCCACAGAGAGGACAACGCATCGTGTGCACCACGGGCGTGGTTCCCTTGCTCACGCTGCACTCCACACCATTGGAAATCACCAGGTGGGAGGCAAACAGAGAGCATCAGCAGGGAGTGCGTTGTCGTCGTCAAAGGGTCCTGGGGTCCGAAAGGGATCCGCAGAAGAGGTGTCCTCACGTAAATGTGAGGAACCGACGAGTGCTGCTGCTGTGAACACAGATGTGTGTCAGCAACAAGCAAGGAAGGACGGGATCAGGCCGCACGACACAGCAAAACAGCGGAATGCTGATGCTGAAGCGTGAGCGTCGGCCTCCCACTTGATGTGCACTGGTGTGGAGTGCAGCGTGGGCAAGGAATCCACGCTCGTGGTACACACGAGGCGTTGTCCTCTCTGTGGAGACGAACCAAGTAGCAGTGAAGGTGCTAGCTTGGCTGTCCCATCAGTAGGTGGTCGTCGAAAAGCTGTTCTTGCAGGGTCTGCTGTTGAGAAAGAGGGGAGGCTGGATGTTCTTGGTTGATGTGGGTGGGTGGGTGGATGCCAACGAAGGGCTTAAAGCCATTCCGTCGCGGCCACGACCCAGATGTGTTTTCGGTTAGGATAACACGCCTTGAAGGATCGTGGTTGCTGCGAAAGAAAGGCACCAAGCTGGCGTTAACAACGTTTGTCGCGCTTTCGAGGAAGCTCGTCGTCGTCGTCGTCGTCGTCGTTGTTGTTGTTGTTGTTGTTGTTGGTTGTGGTGGGGCTGCTAGTGGTGGTGGTGGCGGTGGGGCCGCTGCGGAAAGGGCGTTTTGGCGGCGGGGGCGGGAGCTCGAACATGTGCTTGTCCAGCCGCTTCACAAAGTCCGCACCTTCAGCAGGAGTTCTTGGGGTGCTGGCCACCGATGTGGCAGGCCGGCTGGCAGGGCGTGGCTGGGGCTGGTGCTGCTGAGGTGGATCCAAGAGGAAGCTGGGCTCACACTGCGCCAAAAGCGATACCCCGTGGAGCAGTAGCTCATCGGCCAGCAGGTCGTCCAACAAGGCATTCAGGGCTTCAGGATCAAGGCGTTCGAATGGTGGTAGGAGCTGGAGGTCGAAGATGTCATCGTCGGCCGGTGACTGCCGTATCGTGGGGGCGGTGCTGTCGACTGGGACATGACCACGCAAGCCATCTTGCCCGCCATCTGCTGGAGACTGTGGGGTAGCAACTGGACTGGGCTCGCCGTCGCTCCATGGATGCCGCGGGTCATGCGCTTGCCAATTCGCATCGATGCCGGCGCATTCTCCAGAATCCTGCACGCACTGCGAAGCACATGATCCTGGCGGCACTTGCGGCAGTGAAGACTGGGGCACTTGCGGCAGTGAAGGATGTGGAGGCGGCTGCCGCGGGTCATGCGCTTGCCAATTCGCATCAATGCCGGCGCATTCTCCAGAATCCTGCACACGCTGCTCGTGCCCACCACCATCACCGCCACCACCACCGCGTGGTGCGCGCACTGGTTCAAGGTGCAGTACAATGAGGCCCTCAGCAACACCCCCACAGCCGTCTGGGTCATCGTGGTCGGGATGCTTGGTGCGAATTGATGTCATTCTTTGCTTTCCGTGTGCGGCGCATGAGTCAGTTCCGGCGTCACTTCGTTCGATCGAGTTGGTTTCATTCGACGCAGATGTTCGGCCATCTTGTTTGCTTCGCCGGACGCGTTGGTCCAGCGTCGATCGCCCATTATTGCGCAAATCTCTGTACGCAAACAGGGCATCAGCATTGCCAGCTCGCGCGTGCTGCTCATACTCCTCTTGCATTTGACGATTAACAGCCACACTGAAGTAGCTAAGGCGGTGTGCCAGCTCAGAAGCTGACCCAGCTGAGCACAAGAGCCAACGTGCAGCGTTCAAGGCTTCTGTTGGTGGTTTGAAACGGGCAAGCTTGTACCGCCACAAGATGATGCGGTGACACGCGTCTTCGTCTGGGTTGGCGGTGTCAACGCTGGCCACGATGTCGCTTGATAGTATGTCATGCAATTGGATGTCGTCGAGTTGTTTCTCCATTCGTGGAAGATAGTCAACCGCTTTCTTGACGACGTCGGGAACACCACCACCCTTGGCGTTCCTGCTTGTCTGACGAACCACTTGGTTTCCGATGCTCGATCGCACCCGTTGCTCAAGGTGCGCCAGCTTCGTCATTTGCTGTCGTAGATCAGGTGGCACAGGATCCTGGCCACCCCAGACGCCGTCCCAACTGCACCTGATGTTATCCAAGCACCCAATCATGTCCGGCAAGGCGATCAATGACGTGCCAGTGAGCAGCAGGGTCTTGAAGGCAGCCGCAGGCGGAGCGGTGTTGACGTCACACTCGTTCGACTTAGCCACCCCCATCAAAGTCTGGGAAACGCCTTGCCAGTTATCCTGCCACTTCTTGTTGCCCTGCTTCTTTCGCTTCTTCCTTTGCTTTGGCTTCATGATGGCGTCGTGTTCAAGCCGAGCAGCACAGGCAAGCAGGCACTGGGGTGGCACTTGAGCGTTTGTGTGATGTTGTTGGGTGGGGAGGGTGTGAGAAAATGCATCTTCATCGTGGGTGTTGGCGGTGGCATCAAAGTCCAATCAGTCAAGCTTTCAAATTTTCTCGTGGGGTTGTTGTCGAACACGCTGGAAGTCTGCTGTGTTGCTGTCAGTTCCAAACTCTGGCTTGTCGTGTGTGTGTGTGTGTGTGTGTGTGTGTGTGTGTGTGTGTGTGTGTGTGTGTGTGTGTGTGAATTGATTGCTCCCTTCACTTGTGTACTACAGTACTACTTCTGCTGCTGCTGCTGTAACGTAACAAATGCAACGCACGCGCACATACCCGCGCACATGCAACACCCACGCACATGCGCGCACACACATGCACCACATGCACACACACGAAAGCAACAACGGAAGCAACCTGCAACATCCTTCAGCAAAGACACAGCGACGCTGTGCTGCTTGCTAATCACGGCTTTGCATGCAGCATGCACGTGCACACGTATTTCTTTGCCCTCAGTAGTTCTTTGGCGCGGCCACGAAGGACCAGCTCTGCGCATCGCTGTCCTCGTCACAGGGCAGGATTTGCACGTCGTCCTGCTTGCCGCGGGTGAGGCAGTGTGTTGGCTGCAGCTTTGGCGAGAAGCGCTTCTCCTTGTGGATCCACATGTAGTCGTCCTGGTCTGGGGTGCACGCGCCCTGCCGCACGGCTAGCGAGAGCCCGATGTACGCGTCCGCCATGGTGGCGCTTGCCAAGTGGCCCTCTGCCAAGAAGGTGTGCGTGCACACGGCTCTGTGAGTGAATGTGTGCAAGCATGCATGTCACAGCCAAACGCAGGCAAGCCCGCACACGCGACCGCAGCCCACGTCATTGTACACAACCCTAAATACAGCCCACACCACACACACACACACACACACACATACACACACACACACACACACACACACACACACACACCACACCACACCACACCACACCACACCACACTACACCAAACCACACGCACACGCACACACACACCACACCACGCACACGCACACGCACACGCAAACACACACTTTCCGCTCTCACCCGTGTCGAGGACCCATTGCTGGGTGAATCCGCCGTGGCAGCCGTACAGGCCAGGCACGCCGCGCTGCTGCTGCATGTTGTCCAAGCACGTGCCCGATTTCCCCGTCGACATGACAAACACCTCCGTGCCAGGTGGCACGCCTGCTGCCGCAATACGGCGCGGTGCGTGCTCGGCGGGCTTGAACTCCCACACCTGCGCCTGCAGGGCTGCAGTCTGCACAGTGCTGGCGCTGTCGCTGGACTGTGCCGCGCACGGCTGGAGGTGCAGGCGGTTGTCTGGTGTGCGCGCAAGGCAGGAGGAAGGGTCCGCCTTGTTATGGAGGCGGCTGCCGCGCCTTTCAAACGTGAGCGCATCGCTGCGGCCCACAAGCGCAATGGTGTCGACGCGCAGGCACAGCAGCGTGACGCGCGGGTAGTGGTTGAGGTAGATGTACCCACGCGGAGAAACCACCCACTGCTGCTGGTCGTTGTGCGGCGCGCACGACTGCAGCGTGACGGGGCCGTCGTCCTTCACGCCGTTGTTGGACAGGCACTGCGCCTCGTCCTTGGACGCAATCTGGCCCGGCGTTGCGTCAATGTCCGGCACAAACACGTCGTAGGCGACGTTGTCGAGATACCACTTGAAGGAGCGGCACTGGTTTGCCTCGCGCACCTGCCGCCGCGATGACACGTCCCCAAACTCCTTTCCATGCAGGTGGCGGAAGTCGTAGAAGATCTTCTTGTACTCGTCCATCCACACCTTTTTTGTTTGTTGGCGCGTGTGGGTGTGTGCGCGCATGTGGGCGTGTGTGTGTATGTGGGCATGTGTGTGTGTGTGTGTGTGTGTGTGTGTGGGCGTGTGTGTGTGTGTTTGTACGTGCTCTGCATTTTTGGAGACGACGCTATGGAAACTAACCCATTCATCCCAACCATCCACCACTCATCACAAACAAACACACACACACACACACACACACACACACACACACACACACACAATATACACACCTCTGCGACGCGAATGTCGTTCCGGTCGAGGTAGTAGCCGACGTTGACGGACTTGAGCTTTGGGTCCACGCTAAAGCGGTTAAACTCGCGATAGATGTGCCCGACATTGGAGCAAGGAATCCACTCCATCGACCCGCCGCACTGCCACACGCGAAAGGACAGCTCCACGTGCTCGGCGCCGTAGTACTTGATCTCGGGATCGTACGCGCCCAGCTGAAAGAACAAGTCCTTGTCAATCGCAAACAGCCCTGCACGTTGTGCGTATGTGCGTATGTGCGTATGTGTGTGTGTGTGTGTGGTGGAAATTGAGCCCATGTTACAGTATTACGTGACTCCACAATGAGGACGTGATCCACCGAGAAAAGGTGACATGCATTACTGCAGCCGACCATGACCGACCCCGACGACGCATGGCCTCGCCCGCCCCCTCACCCCACCCATCCCTCGCTCCCCGGCACACCCACAGCACGCACAACGTCATGTAGCAAACCCCCGCACTAACCTCCTGGCATGACGGGGCTTCTGATGGGGCGCGTGTGTGGGTGACCATCGCCAACAAGATCGCGGTCGATGTTTGCGGGCACAATGGTGAAGGTGAGGCGCCAGTTGAAGCTGCCCTTGGCGGGCGGCCACAGCTCGCCGGGGAAGAGGTCCAGCTTGTCCAGGTCGATGCCGCGGATGTTGGGCACGACCACGCGCGTGCGGTCTTCGTGGATGCGGGCAACCAGGGGCTCGATCCACCCGGGCGACACCTCACTGTGGCTATCGAGGAAGACGAGGATCGGGTGGGACGCCTCCTGCGCCCCGCGCACGCGCGCCCCGACAATCCCGTCGTGCACGTGCCGGTGGAAGAGCTTGATCATGCCGTCCGGGACCTTGAGCTTCTTCAGGTGCTTTGGGAGCAGCTGCAGCTCTGGCAGCGTGCTGTTGTCGTCGATGAGCAGAATCTCGCCAAGCAGCTCGGGCGGGGTGCGGTTGAGCACGCTCACGACGTTGCGCAGCAGCGTGGACAAGGGCTCGTTGTAATAAATGATGATGACGCTGGACTTGGGCATGCCCCTGGGGTACGTGATGGCCTTGCACTCGTCTGACCGGATATCAGGCACATCGTGGGCGAGCGGCAGCTCGTTGGACTTTTTCAGGTTGAACCCATACTGCCTGTACATGGACTCGCGCGAGTTGAGGATGGGGTCGTCGCGGATGTTCTTTGGCAGGTCCAGCTCAAGATGCACCGGCTGCCACCAGGCACCGCCACCAGCAGCAGCAGCAACTGCGCGTTGTTGTTGCTGCCCTTGCTGCTGCTGCTGTTGTTGTTGCTGCTCTTCTTGCTTTCGTTTGAGCTGCGCCTCGGCTTCTGCCTGCCATTGCCGTTCTTGCAGCTGCCGCTCCTTCTCCGCGTTCTCCGCCTCCAGCTTTTGCTGCTGCGCAAGCATGTCCTGCTTTGCTTGCATTCGACGCAGATCCTCCAGCACAGGCGCATCGTCCCCTTGTCCCCTTGGCACCACACCATTGCCACCACTGCCACCATCGCCAGTGCCAGTGCCAGTGCTAGTGCTGCTGCCGCTGCCGCTGCTGCTGCTGTTGTTGTTGTTGTTCAGCGTGCGCAGCCCAAGCAGCACCACCACCACCACAGCAAGCAACACCAGCTCCCGCTTCCGCGCACCTCGCATATCTTGGGTTCCTATATCAGGGCCGATGGCCGGGATTTGTACTGAAAATAGGCAATTCACACCAAGTGGCTGATATCTTCCACCACCTTTCCTCTGGTTTGACCGTTCGCTTGGCAACCAATCTTCCTCAACAACACATACAACCACTACATCCGTGCACCGCCACAACACCACAACACCAACCAACAACATTTTCAACTGAACAACCCACCACCACCACCATCACCGCGACGATATTGATTGACGTGTTGTGATTCTCTCTGACCAGGTGGGGGCTCCAGAACAAGCAAGGAGGGGTCCGAGCACACACACGCACACACACGCACGCACACGCACACACACGCACACACACGCACGCACCCACGCACGCGCAACGCGCAGCGATCGAGGCTGGGTGAAGAACGGTCAAGGGTATTCCTTCATTCATTCACTCAATTCATCGTCGCGACACCCTGCAAGCAAGCAGCACACACCAACACCAGCAGATAGTTGGCCCAGCCACAAAAAAAAAATGGCTGATACAGAACAACAACCCGCAACAGAGCAGCCGCCTCCAAAGCCCGTGGAGGCGGAGGAGCAGGAGCAGCAAGCCGACGCACAGCCTGCACAGGAGGCGACTACCGCTTCTACCGAAGATGCGCCTGCAAACGCAGAGACGGCAAACGAGGAGCAGGACGTGAAGGAGAATGAGAATGGTGACGCGGCAACAGAGGAGGCCAAGACAGAGGAGAAGGAGGACGGTGAGGCGACTGAGGACAAGAAGGAGGATGGCGGCAGTGAAACTACCGAGGAGGCCAAGACCGACGCAGACGCTGAAGCTGAGGCCGAAGCTGCTGAGGAGGCCAAGACAGACGCAGACGCAGACGCAGACGCCGACGCAGACGCTGAGGCTGAGGCCGAAGCTGCTGAGGAGGCCAAGACAGACGCAGACGCTGCCAACGCCGACGCAGACGCAGAGGCAGACGCAGACGCTGCCAACGCCGACGCAGACGCTGAGGCAGACGCCGCCACCACTGAGGAGGCCAAGACAGACGCAGACGCTGAGCCGGACGCCGAAGCTGCTGAAGCAGAACAGGAGGAGTCCAAGACTGAGGGTGAGAGCACGGATGAGAAGCCAGCAGCCGATGCAGCCGAGGCATCCACAGAGGCTACCCCACAAGAGGAACAGTCTGCAGAAGCCAAGACAGAGGAGCCTGCTCCGGCTCCTGAGGCTGAACCTGAGCCTGAGCCCGAGACAGAGGCAGAGGTGATTGCGAGGGAACAGGCAGCCGTCGCTGTCAAGCGGAGGGAAATCCGCTCCCTTCCTCGTCCTCCAGAGGGCGGTCAGTCCATTGTGTGTGTGTGTGTGTGTGCGTATCTGCTGTATGTGTGTGTGTGTGTTGTAAGTGTTTTGCACCTGTCAACGTGTGGTCCTGCTTTGCCCCCCCCGTCCCTTCGCTGTTCACCCTTCCGTTTGAGCATTCATATCCACCCCATCAGCCCACTCCACGTAAAACCCTAGCCCAATATTCACACTCGTAACATTTTCCCTGTCTTCTCCACACCTCCCCCCCCCTTGCTGCCCTGCTGCTCATTCTGTTCCTCTCCCCACCAACATCAGAGCGAAAGCACAACCCGCGCACGCGCAAGGCTGCCGCGCCCGTGAGCAAGTTCACGCGACGGGCACACAAGGTGGCTAAGCCGCAGGAGCGCATGAAGAGCAAGGTGGCCAACAAGGACAGCACCATGGAGGCGTCACACAAGAGCAAGGAGGCGCGCGCCGCCAAGGCCGCCAGCATGGACGCCCGCCACAAGTACATCATCTCCTGCGTCGCCGACCTCGTGCAGGAGGAGGCCGAGACAGTGGAGACGCAGGTGCTCGACGGCCCCGGGTTTGAGCAGTTTGACCAGTTCTTCGCCGCCAACCCGACGCGCCGCCAGCTCGTCTTCTTCTACCAGAACTTCCCCAACCGCAAGGGCGAGATGGAGAAGCGCGTGCAGATTGTCAACCCGGCCGTGGACCGGCTCACGGGCACGTGCGTCTACTGCGTGCGCGGCGCCTCCACCCGCGCCCTCAGCACCAGCAACGTCGCGCAGGAGGTGACCTTTGGCCGGTTTGGCCTGGACAGGGCATCCGGCACCGTGCTTGGCGGCATGGAGTCGATCATCGCCGACTTCCTCGAGCCCGCGCTCATGGCCAACGAGAACTGGGGCAAGATGGAGAAGGACGATGCGCAGCGTGAGGAGTTCTTCGACGCCCTGGAGCGGTTCCGCGCCACGCTGAGCGAGGCCAACGTTGCCGTGGCCACGCGCGTCGTGCTGCAGGCGTACGAGCCCAAGGAGGGCGAGCCCGCGCTGGAGCTGGACAGCATGTCCGCCGCAGACGTCACGCGCATGTCGCAGGACCACAAGGCGACGGCGCAGCTGGAGGAGCTGGTGCAGCACTGGTGCACGCAGCTGGAGCAGGTGATTGCGGAGAGCGAGCAGATGCGCAAGGAGGCGGACGACGTCGGCCCCCGCGCCGAGCTGGAGCACTGGAAGCAGCAGATGGCCAAGTTCAACGGCGTGCTGGACCAGATGAAGGAGGCGCGCTGCCAGAACGCCGTCAACGTGCTGCACCTCGCCAAGTCGCGCCTCATCCCGGAGTGGCGCCGCCTCGAGGTGCGCATCACAGAGTCCGCAAACGAGGCCAAGGACAACGTCAAGTACCTGTCCACCCTCGACAAGTTCTGCGGGCCCCTGTACAAGAACAGCCCGCCGCAGATGATGGAGTCGGTGCCCGCGCTCATGAACGCCGTGCGCATGATCCACTCCATCTCCGGCTACTACAACACGAGCGAGCGCATGACCGCGCTGTGCGTGAAGATCACCAACCAGATGATCACCGCCTGCAAGCGCTACATCTACGAGAAGGAGCCCCGCATCTGGGACCAGGATCCCAAGGACCTCACCGCTCGCCTCAGCCACGTACGGCCAGCCGTGCATGCTCTTTTGATGATTTGCGCATGTGGTAGCTTTGCATGTGTTGTATGTGTATCTGCACCCATACTTGTACGTCTGTGTCTGTGTCTGTGTGTGTCCGCGTGTCCAGAACTGTGCATGTACACACAGGAGCTCGCTGTTCCTTGCCACCACAGCATCGCGACGCTTCCCTCCAACCACCAACCCACCCCAACAACAAACCCCCCGCCCCAACAACAACAACAACACCCCCCCCCCCACTCACACTAACACACACACACACACCACGCTCACGCACTGATAACCGCCCCCCCCCCACACACACACAGTGCCGAGAGCTGAACCAGCACTACCAGCGGTGCTTTAAGCGGGAGAAGGAGAAGCTGCTGGCCACCCCAGAACGGCGGCAGTTTGATTTTTCGGAGATGTCCATCTTTGGCAAGTTTGACACGTTCTGCGCCCGCACGGAGAAGATTGTGCAGATGCTGGACATTATCGAGCGCTGGAGCAAGCTGAGCGCAAGCAAGATTGACGGCATCGAGCCCATCAACGTGCTCTTCCGCTCCCTCGTCAACAACTTCAAGAAGAAGCCGTACGACGTGCTCAACACGCGCCGCCGCGACTTTGACACAGACTTTGAGCAGTTCCAGAGCGACATCCAGGACCTGCTGCAGCGGCTGCAGGACTTTATGGACGACTGCTTTGCCCAGGCGCCGAGCGTCATGCGCGCCCTGGACCTCCTCACCAAGTTTGAGAAGATCAAGCACGTCGGCCTCGACCTCTCGGAGAAGTACGAGCTGGTGCTGCGCGCCTTTGGCAAGGAGCTCGAGGAGGTGCGCAAGGTGTACCAGGCGGAGAAGCAGGACCCCTCCATTGGCCGCAACCTGCCGCCGCTCGCCGGACGCATCATCTGGGCGCGCCAGCTCTTCGCCCGCATCGAGGGCCCCATGTCCGTGTTCCAAAAGTCGTGCACCGACCTCCTTAAGACCGCCGACGCGCGCAAGGTGATTAAGCACTACAACAAGCTCGGGCACGTGCTGCTCGAGTACGAGCTGCTGCACCACCGCGCATGGTGGAAGGCGGTGGACGCCTCGCAGTCCGGCCTCAACGCCTCGCTCCTCGTGCGCCACCCGGAGACGGGCAAGCTCCTGGTCAACATGGACCCGCAGCTGCCGCAGGTCATCCGCGAGACGAAGATCATGCAGAAGCTCAACCTGGAGATCCCGGAGAGCGCCAAGCTGCTGTGCCTGCAGGAGGAGCGCCTGGCCAACCAGAAGAACCAGCTCGAGCTGATGATTGAGGAGTACAACCGCGTGTTTTCCCGCATCCCGGAGCGCGTTGAGCACCTCCTGCGCTCCGCGCGCAAGGCCGTCGACAAGCAGGTGGAGCCCGGCGTGACGAAGCTGAGCTGGATGTCGCCCAACCTCGACCCGTACCTGCAGACGTGCTACGGCGCCCTGGCAGACTTTGAGAAGCTGCTCAAGGAGGTGGAGGATACGCTGCAGGTGCGCATCGACTCCGTGCTGGAGAACATCCGCAAGACGATGCTCGTCAAGCTACCGGAGGAGATGGCCTGGCCCTGCACGCAGTTTGTGGAGGAGACGGAGGCCCTCTGCGCCACGCGCACGGAGGAGCTGCAGCTGTCAAACAAGCTGGTGGAGCGGGCGGTGGACGAGCTCGTGGCCATGCTGCTCAAGAGCATGCTGCCGGAGGACCGCCAGTCCGAGCACACCCGCTCCGAGGTGGACAGCCTGCTCAGCCACTTCAACCACAGCGTCGTGGACGCCTTTGTGCGCTGCGTGCGCCGCAACCTAGAGGCCATCAAGAAGCGCCTCTCCCGCGCCCGCAAGGAGTACGACGAGAACACGGCAAAGTCGCCGCCGTGCTTCTCCGCCTCCATTGTGCTCGACATCCCAAACATCAGCATGACCCCGGCGCTGGACGACATCCAGAAGGCCGTCAACCAGGCCGTGCAGACGGTGATTGGCGTCACCCGCTCCATCACCACGTGGAAGTCGCACCCCCTCGCCCGCGCTGCCCGCAACCACCACGGCAACGCGCAGCAGCAGCAGCAGCGGCAGCAGCGGCAGCAACAGCAGCAGGAAGGGGGAGACGCAGGTCAGGATGGCGCAGCGGAGGACGAGGAAGAGGACGATGAGGTGCGCAGCCGCGAGCGCGCGGCCCTCAGCGCCGTCGCCGAGGGCAACATCTACCACATTGTGTCCGAGAACAAGGAGGTGGCGAAGAACGTGTCGTCGCTCTCGTCGGCCATCAACTCCACAAAGCAGGAGGTGACAGACGTGCTAGAGCGCCTCAGCAAATACAACCGCCTCTGGCAGGACAGCAAGGAGGACAAGACGGAGGAGTTCTTGGCAACGGAGCCCGACCTGTACGACTTTGAGGTTGCGGTGAAGGGGTACGAGGAGATTGAGAACGAGATCCTGGCGTTGCCGGAGACGTACCGCGTGAGCGCGATTGAGCTGGCCACGGACACGTTCAAGCAGGCCATGACGGCGGAGACGCGCGCGTGGAAGCAGGCGTACGGCCGTGGCCTTAACACCAAGGCGCTCAAGGACATGAACAGCATCTTTGAGTTCTGCGAGGACCTGACCAAGCGGCTCTCGCGCAAGATTGTGGACCTGGAGGACGTGCGCATGGCGATGAACGCGCTCAAGGAGCTGCGCGAGGAGCAGATTCGCCTGGACAACATGCTGGGCCCCATTGAGCAGTCGTACGCCATCCTCAGCAAGTACGACGTCGTGGTCCCGCGCACGGAGACGGAGCGCCTGGACACGCTCAACTACGAGTGGGACAAGCTGCTCGGCCTCTCCAAGCAGGTGCAGAACAACCTGATTGAGATTGCGCCCTCCTTCCGCGAGGGCCTCGAGTCGAGCGTGCAGAAGTTCACCCTGGAGGTGTCGTCCTTTGTCAACGACTATGACAGCAAAGGCCCCAACGAGGAAGGCATTGTGCCCGCGGAGGCCAGCGACCGGCTGGCCGTGTTCCAGGTGCGCTTCGATGACCTGTGGCGCCGCTACATCACGTACACGGGCGGCGAGGAGCTGTTTGGCCTGCCGCAGTCCGAGTACCCGGACCTGCCCCGCATCAAGAAGGAGCTCGGCCTACTGCAGAAGCTGTACGGCCTCTACAACGACGTGCTCAAGACGATTGACGGCTACTACGACATTCAGTGGACGGCGGTCGACATTGAGAAGATCAACTCGGAGCTGCTTGACTTTGGCAACCGCTGCCGCAAGCTGCCCAAGGCGCTCAAGGAGTGGCAGGCTTTCCACGAGCTGCGCAAGCGCATCGACGACTTCAACGAGACTTGCCCCTTGCTCGAGGCCATGTCCAACCCGGCCATGCTGCCGCGCCACTGGCAGCGCATCGCCGAGGCCACTGGCCACACGTTTGACATTGAGTCTGAGAACTTCCTCCTGCGCAACATCATGGAGGCCGACCTGCTCAAGGCCAAGGAGGAGATTGAGGACATTTGCATTGCGGCGGTGAAGGAGCAGGACATTGAGGCCAAGCTGAAGAGCGTGGTGGCGGAGTGGTCTGCGCACGAGCTGTCGTTTATGACGTTCAAGAACCGCGGCGAGCTGCTGATCAACGCCGCCGAGATTGCCGAGCTCATGACGCTCATGGAGGACAGCCTGATGGTGCTGAGCTCCCTCATGAGCAACCGCTACAACGCGCCGTACAAGGCCGACATCCAGAAGTGGGTGCGCAACCTCTCCGACACCTCTGAGATTGTGGAGAAGTGGCTCATCGTGCAGAACCTGTGGGTGTACCTGGAGGCCGTATTTGTGGGCGGCGACATTGCCAAGCAGCTGCCCAAGGAGGCGAAGCGCTTCTCCAACATTGACAAGTCGTGGCAGAAGATTATGACCCGCGCGCACGAGAACACCAACCTGGTGCAGTGCTGCACCGGCGACGAGACCATGAGCAACCTCCTGCCGCACTTGCACGAGCAGCTGGAGCTGTGCCAGAAGTCGCTGGTGGGCTACCTGGAGAAGAAGCGCCTGCTGTTCCCGCGCTTCTTCTTCGTGTCGGACACGGTGCTGCTGGAGATTCTCGGCCAGGCCAGCGACTCGCACACCATCCAGGGCCATCTCCTCAACATCTTCGACAACATCAAGCAGGTCACCTTCCACGAGAAGGTGTACGACCAGATCCTGGCGTACTCGTCCAAGGAGGGCGAGACAGTGCACATGCAGCGGCCCGTGATGGCGACGGGCAACGTCGAAACGTGGCTGGGCCAGTTCCTGGAGGAGCAGCGGCGCTCCCTCAACAGCGTCATCTGCGACGCCGCCGTGCAGGCGCTGGACCAGAACTTCCAGCTGATTGAGTTTGAGAACAGCTACCCGGCACAGGTTGGCATCCTCGGCATCCAGCTGCTGTGGACGCGCGATGCGGAGGTGGCGCTCAACAACGCCCGCCAGGACAAGAAGATCATGCAGCAGACCGACGACAAGTTCCTGCGCCTGCTCAGCGAGCTCATCAACGCAACGCTGCAGGAGCTGACAAAGGTTGACAGGACCAAGTTCGAGACGCTCGTCACCTTGCACGTGCATCAGCGCGATATCTTCCACGACCTCGTCGTCATGGGCATCAAGACGCCAATTGACTTTGAGTGGACCAAGCAGGCCCGCTTCTACTTCTTGGAGGAGGAGCGCAGAACAGCCGTCCACATCACCGATGTCATCTTCAACTACTCGCTCGAGTTTATCGGCTGCGTGGACCGCCTGGTCGTCACGCCGCTCACGGATCGCTGCTACATCACCCTTGCCCAGGCCCTCAACCTGCACATGGGTGGCGCCCCTGCTGGTCCCGCCGGTACGGGCAAGACAGAGACCACCAAGGACATGAGCCGCTGCATCGGCAGGTGTGTGTGTATGTGTGTATGTGCAAGTGTGCGTGTGCGTGTGCGTGTGCGTGTGCGTGCGTATGTTTGGTTGGGAGCTTGTGAGGGGGGTGTGTGTGTGTGTGTGTGTGTGTGAATGATCATCGTTTTGCTGGTATGGCACGTTGAAGAAGGGCGCTCGCTGATGGCCGTAAATCTCTCCCTCTCACCTCCCAATTCTCACTCGTTCGTTTGTACTCACACCACCCACAACCACACATGCGAATGTGATTGATGTGACAGGCTTTGCGTCGTTTTCAAGTACGGCCCTGTGGCGTCTTGTTTGGGTTCTTTTTTTGGGGGCGGGGGCGGGGAGCGGTCCTTTGCTTGATTTGGAGTGAACCACTCATGTGCTGCTGTGTTTTGCTGTTGTGTCATGCGCATGTCCGTGCCATTCATCACTTGACCAACTCACCTCTGCTCGTTTTTCGTTACTTTGCGCCATGTATCGTCACATCACTTTGCACACGCGATTCACCCAACCCACCACAGCGTAAGTCATATGAATGTTGTCTGCATGCCGTGCACCGTCTGTAACGTGTTGTGGGTCAATTTTCATTGCATACTCGACTGGCTGCCGTGTGTCTGTTGTCATACCTCATCTCTTCTTGACACACCCACATTGACGCTTTGCTCACCATCACACCTTTCAACATGCAACCAACGCTTTGATCTTGCCACTGGCCCCCTTCCTTCTTTCTTTCATCGCCCGTCCCCATCTCTGCCCTCCTCCTCGATAGTGTAAGTTAGCCACATTGCGCACTTGTGCGTGCGCGTGTGCATGCTTGTGTGCGTGCGCGTGTGCATGATTGTGTGCACACACACATGCACACTCTGATTGCGGGGCTAGAAGCGCGTTTCTGCTAGTGTGTCAACAACGCCTTGCTTTCGTTGCCCTGACGCCGTTTTTCTGCTTTCCTTTGTTTCCACAACACAACTGCACCATTGCCCTCCACCTCTACCACCACTACCACCACGACCAGGCTCTGATCAAATGGACTTCCGTGGCCTGGGCCGCATCTACAAAGGCCTGGCGCAGTCTGGCGCGTGGGGCTGCTTTGACGAGTTCAACCGCATCGAGCTGCCCGTGCTCTCTGTTGCGGCGCAGCAGATTGCCATTGTGCTCACGGCCAAGAAGGAGCGCCGCAAGAACTTCATTTTCATGGACGGCGACGACGTGTCGCTCAACCCGGAGTTTGGCCTCTTCCTGACCATGAACCCCGGGTACGCCGGGCGCCAGGAGCTGCCGGAGAACCTCAAGATCCAGTTCCGCTCCGTGGCCATGATGGTGCCTGACCGCCAGATTATCATCCGCGTGAAGCTTGCCAGCTGCGGTTTCCAGAACAACGTCGTCCTGGCGCGCAAGTTCTTCACCCTGTACAAGCTGTGCGAGCAGCAGCTGTCCAAGCAGGTGCACTACGACTTTGGCCTGCGCAACATCCTGTCTGTCCTGCGCACGCTCGGCCCGGAGAAGCGCAAGAACCCGGACGATGGCGAGACGACCATTGTCATGCGCGTGCTGCGAGACATGAACCTGTCCAAGCTCGTGGACGAGGACGAGCCGCTCTTCATGTCGCTCATCACCGACTTGTTCCCCGGCATCGAGCTGGAGACGGTAACGTACCCGGACATGCAGGACGCCATTCAGAAGCACGCAGACGAGGCCAACCTCGTCAACCACCCGGCCTGGAACCTCAAGCTCGTGCAGCTGTTTGAGACGCAGCGCGTGCGCCACGGCTTCATGGTGCTCGGCCCGAGCGGCGCCGGCAAGACCACCAACATCCACACGCTGATGAAGGCCATGACGGAGTGCGGCACGCCGCACAAGGAGTACCGCATGAACCCCAAGGCCATCACGGCGCCGCAGATGTTCGGGCGCCTGGACGTGGCCACCAACGACTGGACCGACGGCATCTTCAACGTGCTCTGGCGCCGCACCCTCAAGGGCAAGAAGGGCGAGAAGACGTGGATTGTGCTGGACGGCCCCGTTGACGCCGTGTGGATTGAGAACCTCAACAGTGTGCTGGACGACAACAAGATGCTCACGCTGGCCAACGGCGACCGCATCCCCATGTCCCCGGACGCCAAGCTCGTGTTTGAGCCGCACAACATCGACAACGCGTCGCCGGCCACCGTCTCGCGCAACGGCATGGTCTTCATGTCGTCCTCCGTGCTGGACTGGCGGCCCATCCTCGAGGGCTGGTTCAAGCGCCGCTCCGCCAGCGAGAGCGACGTGCTCCGCGGCATGTTCGACCTCTGCTTCGACGACACCCTCACGTACGTGCGCACGAGCCTCAACCCGCGCATGACGCTGCTGGAGTGCAACTACATCAAGCAGGCCATCGACCTGCTGACGGGCCTCATCCCCAACGGCGAGCAGGAGGGCTCCGACGGCCACGGCGCAGAGCCGCTCTCCGCCGAGCACCTGCGGCGCCTGTTCATCTTCGCCATCATGTGGTCCCTCGGTGCGGTGCTGGAGCTGGACGACCGCGCGCGCCTGCAGGAGTTCCTGCACTCCCTGTCCGGGGACCTCCCGCTGCCAAAGACAACGGGCGAGGAGACCATCTTCGAGTACATGGTCAACGAGCAGGGCGAGTGGGAGCACTGGAGCAAGCGCGTGGAGCCGTACGACTACCCGCGCGACCCGAACGAGCCCACGCCGGCGTTCCGCAGCATCCTCGTGCCCAACATCGACAACGTGCGCAGCGAGTTCCTGCTGCACACCATTGCCAAGCAGCACAAGTCTGTGCTGTTTATTGGCGAGCCCGGTACGGCGAAGACGGTCATCACCAAGGGCTACTGCAAGAAATTCAACCCCGAGGAGCACCTGTGGAAGTCGCTCAACTTCTCGTCCACGACGCACCCCAACGGCTTCCAGCGCACCATTGAGTCGTACGTGGAGAAGCGCATGGGCACCACCTTTGGGCCGCCCGGTGGCAAGGCCATGGCCGTGTTCATCGACGATATCAACATGCCCATCATCAACGAGTGGGGCGACCAGATTGCCAACGAGATTGTGCGCCAGGTCATGGCCGAGAGCGGCTTCTACTCGCTGGACAAGCCCGGCGACTTCATCACGCTGGCGGACATGCAGTACCTCGCCGCCATGCCGCACCCCGGTGGCGGCCGCAACGACATTCCGGAGCGCCTCAAGCGCCGCTTCTCCGTGTTCAACTGCACGCTCCCGGCCAACGTGTCCATCGACCTCATCTTCCGCACCATCGGCAACGGCTGGTTCTGCCCCGAGCGCGGCTTCACCCCGGACGTGGTGCAGATGGCGGACCAGCTGGTGTACCTCACGCGCAAGATGTGGCAGGACACCAAGGCCAAGATGCTGCCCACGCCGGCCAAGTTCCACTACGTGTTCAACCTGCGCGACGTGAGCCGCATCTGGGAGGGCATGCTGCTCATCCAGCCGGAGGAGTGCGACTCCGTGCAGGCCCTGCTCAACCTGTGGAAGCACGAGTGCACGCGCGTCCTCGCCGACCGCTTCACGGAGAAGAAGGACGTGGCGTGGTTCCAGCAGCGCATCCAGCAGGTGATTGCCTCTGAGCTCGGCGACGAGTACGCCAACCTCACCGACGAAGAGCCGTTCTTCGTCGACTTCCTGCGCGAGGCGCCCGAGCCGACGGGCGAGGAGGGCGAGGAGGAGGCCGACCTGGAGGCGCCCAAGGTCTACGAGAAGGTCCCCGACCTGGACACGCTTGAGGCCAAGCTCAAGGAGTACATGCAGCTGTACAACGAGACGGTCCGCGGCGCCAAGATGGACCTCGTCTTCTTCCGCGACTGCATGATCCACCTGGTGCGCGTGTCGCGCATCATCCGCATCCCGCAGGGCAACGCCATGCTGGTCGGCGTCGGCGGCTCCGGCAAGCAGTCTGTCACGCGCCTGGCCACCTCCATTGCCGGGTACAAGGTGTTCCAGATCCAGCTCAGCCGCTCGTACAATGCCAACAACCTGATGGAGGACATCAAGCAGCTGTACCAGATTGCGGGCGTCAAGGGCCAGGGCCTCACCTTCATCATGACCGACAACGAGATCAAGCAGGAGGGCTTCCTCGAGTACATCAACAACCTGCTGGCCACGGGCGAGATTGGCGGCCTGTTTGCCCGCGACGAGATTGACGAGATTTGCGGCGAGCTCATCCCCGTGATGAAGAAGGAGTTCCCGCGCCGCCCGCCCACAAACGAGAACCTGTATGACTACTTTATCAACCGCGTGCGCAACAACCTGCACGTTGTACTGTGCTTCTCCCCCGTGAGCGAGAAGTTCCGCACGCGTGCCCTCAAGTTCCCCTCGGTGTTTGCGGGCACGAACATGGACTGGTTCATGGCGTGGCCGCGCGACGCGCTAGTGGCCGTGGCCGACCACTTCCTCAGCGACTTCCACGTCGTGTGCACGAACGACGTCAAGGGCGCCATGGTGGAGACGATGGGTGTGGTGCAGGACCGCGTCGGTGCCGCGTGCGACGACTACTTCCAGCGCTTCCGCCGTCAGACGTACGTGACCCCGGCGTCGTACCTCTCCTTCCTCAACTCGTACAGGCACCTGTACTCGGACAAGAAGGAGCACTTTGAGAACCTGCGCCAGCGCATGCAGACGGGCCTGGACAAGCTGCTCGAGGCGTCCGAGTCTGTGGCGCAGCTGAGCGAGGAGCTCGTGGTGAAGGAGAAGGACCTGGCCGTGGCCTCGGAGGAGACGGAGCGCGTGCTGCAGGAGGTGTCGCAGAGCGCCGCCGCCGCAGAGAAGGTCAAGTCCGAGGTGCAAAAGGTCAAGGACAAGGCGCAGGAGATTGTGGACACCATCGACAAGGACAAGAAGGTGGCTGAGAAGAAGCTGGCCGCGGCCGTGCCTGCGCTGGCCGCGGCCGAGAGGGCGCTGGAGACGATCAAGCCCGCCGACATTGCCACGGTGAAGAAGCTGGGCAAGCCGCCGCACCTCATCATGCGCATCATGGACGCCGTGGTGATTCTGTTTGGGCGCAAGCTGGACCCCGTGGTGCCGGACCCGGAGCGGCCCTGCCCGACGCCCTCGTGGAAGGAGTCCCTCAAGACCATGAACGGCCCACTGCTAAGCGAGCTGGTCAACTTTGACAAGGACACCATCAACGACGAGATGGTGGAGCTGCTTGAGCCGTACCTGGGCATGGAGGACTACAACATCGACCAGGCCAAGCGCGTGTGCGGCAACGTGGCTGGCCTGCTCTCGTGGACGGAGGCCATGGCCACCTTCTTCGGCATCAACAAGGAGGTGCTGCCGCTCAAGGCCAACCTGGCCGTTGCCGAGGCGAAGCTCAAGGTGGCGCAGGGCGAGTTGGCGGAGGCGCAGGGCGAGCTGGACGCCAAGCAGGCCGAGCTGGACGTGGTGCAGGCGCGCTACGACGCCGTGATGAAGAAGAAGCAGGAGCTGCAGGCGGACGCGGAGACGTGCCGGCGCAAGATGGCCTCTGCCTCTGCCCTCATCGGCGGCCTCAGCGGGGAGAAGGTGCGTTGGACGCAGCAGGCCAAGGAGTTTGAGGCGCAGATCAACCGGCTCGTCGGCGACGTGCTGCTCATGTGCGCCTTCATGTCGTACTCTGGGCCCTTCAACAACGAGTTCCGCACGCTGCTGCTCAGCGGGTGGCGCAAGGAGCTGGAAACGCGCACCATCCCCTTCACCAAGTCCCTCAACATTGTGGAGAACCTGGTGGACAACGCGACCATTGGCGAGTGGGGCCTGCAAGGGCTTCCCAACGACGAGCTGTCGCTGCAGAACGGCATCATCGTCACCAAGGCCACGCGCTATCCGCTGCTGATTGACCCGCAGGGCCAGGGCAAGGCGTGGATCAAGAACCGCGAGGCGAAGAACGAGATGCTGGTCACCACGCTGGACCACAAGTACTTCCGCACGCACCTGGAGGACGCCCTGTCGCAGGGCCGCCCGCTGCTGATTGAGGACGTGGTGGAGGAGTTGGACCCGTGCCTGGACAACGTCCTGGACAAGAACTTTATGAAGGCCGGTTCCACGTACAAGGTCAAGGTTGGCGACAAGGAGGTTGACATTATGGACGGCTTCATGCTGTACATCACCACCAAGCTGCCCAACCCGACGTACACGCCCGAGGTGTTTGCGCGCACGTCCATCATCGACTTCACCGTGACCATGAAGGGCCTGGAGGACCAGCTCCTGGCCAAGGTGATTCTCACGGAGAAGGCCGAGTTGGAGACGGAGCGCGTTGCGCTGGTGACGGAGGTCACGGCCAACAAGAAGAAGATGAAGGAGCTCGAGGACAACCTGCTGTACCGCCTGAGCAACACCAAGGGCTCGCTGGTCGACGACGAGAGCCTGATTGAGGTGCTGCAGGTGACGAAGACGACGGCAGAGGAAGTGAACGAGAAGCTGGCGGTGGCCGCAGACACGGAGCTGAAGATCAACACCGCCCGTGAGGAGTACCGGCCCGTGGCCACGCGCGGGTCCATTCTGTACTTCCTCATTGTGGAGATGTCCATGGTCAACCCCATGTACCAGACGTCGCTGGACCAGTTTTTGGGCATCTTCGACTTCAGCCTGGCGCACTCTGAGAAGTCGCCCGTGCCCATGAAGCGCATTGCCAAGATTATCGAGTACATGACCTTTGTGGTGTTCAAGTACACGAGCCGCGGCCTGTACGAGAAGGACAAGTTCCTCTTCACCATCCTCCTCGCCCTCAAGATTGACCTGCAGCGCGGCAACGTGAAGCCAAACGAGTTTATGACGTTCATCAAGGGTGGTGCCGCGCTGGACCTCAACTCCGTGCAGCCCAAGCCCAAGTCGTGGATCCTCGACTCGACGTGGCTCAACCTGGTGCAGCTGAGCGAGCTGCCCATGTTCGCCGACATTCTCAACCAGGTGTCGCGCAATGACAAGGCTTGGCGCGCGTGGTTTGACGAGGACGTGCCCGAGGAGGCGCCGCTGCCGGACGGCTACGAGAGCACGCTCGACGTGTTCCGCCGGCTGCTGCTGGTGCGCTCGTGGTGCCCGGACCGCACGCTGGCGCAGGCGCGCAAGTACGTGGCCTCGTCACTTGGCCAGCGCTATGCCGACGCCGTGCTGCTTGACATGGAGGAGATGTACGGGGAGAGCGACGTGCGCACACCGCTGGTTGGCCTGCTGTCCATGGGCGCGGACCCGACGGGCGCCATCCAGCACCTGGCCAAGCTCAAGAAGGTGGAGTGTCGCGAGGTGTCCATGGGCCAGGGTCAGGAGGTGCACGCGCGCAAGCTCATCTCGGACTTCCAGCAGAACGGCGGGTTTGCGCTGCTGCAAAACTGCCACCTTGCCCTCGACTTTATGAACGAGGTCCTCGACACGGTGAAGACGGCGGAGAACGTCAACCCGGCGTTCCGACTGTGGGTGACCACGGAGGTGCACCCCAAGTTCCCCATCAATCTGCTGCAGTCGTCGATCAAGTTCACCAACGAGCCGCCGCAGGGCATCAAGGCCAACCTCAAGCGCACGTACGCGGACGTGACCCAGGACCAGCTGGACATCACCAACCTGCCCCAGTGGAAGCCCATGCTGTACGGCGTGGCATTCCTGCACGCCATTGTGCAGGAGCGGCGCAAGTTTGGCCCCCTTGGCTGGAACATCCCCTACGAGTTCAACCAGGGTGACCTGCTTGCCTCGTTCCAGTTTGTGCAGAACCACCTGGACGACATTGACCCGAAGAAGGGCGTGGCGTGGCCCACGGTGCGCTACATGCTGTCGGAGGTGCACTATGGCGGGCGCGTGACGGACGACCGCGACAAGCGCCTTCTCATCACATACTGCACGCTGTGGTTTGGCGAACACATGTTCAAGGACGACTTTGCCTTCTACAAAGGCTACGAGATTCCCAAGTGCGCCAAGATTGACGAGTTCCGCGACCACATCAGCCATCTCAACACTTTTGACGGGCCCGAGGTCTTTGGGCTGCATCCAAACGCGGACATCACGTACATGACCAACACGGCGCAGAACGTGCTGGCCACAATTGTTGACATCCAGCCCAAGGAGAGCGCTGCCTCCGGTGGCGAGACGCGCGAGGACGCCGTCAAGCGCCTGTGCAAGGAGTTCCAGCAGAAGCTGCCAGACGACTTTTTGCCGCACGAGGTCAAGGCGCGCCTGCGCAAAATGGGTGCCACCAACCCCATGAACATCTTCCTGCGGCAGGAGATTGACCGCATCCAGCGCGTCATCACCCTCGTCCGCACCACCCTGTCCGACCTGCTGCTGGCCATTGACGGCACCATCATCATGAGCGAGACGCTGCGCGACGCCCTCGACAACATGTACGACGCGCGCGTGCCCAAGGCCTGGTCGGCCATCTCCTGGACGTCCATGACGCTGGGTTTCTGGTTTACGGAGCTGATTCTGCGCCACCAGCAGTTCCACAGCTGGTGCTTCCAGGGCCGCCCCGCGGCCTACTGGCTCACGGGCTTCTTCAACCCGCAGGGCTTTATCACGGCCATGCGACAGGAGATCACCCGCGCGCACAAGGGCTGGGCGCTGGACAGCGTTGTGTGCTGCAACGACATTACCAAGATGGCCGGCAAGGAGGATGTCAAGGAGCCGCCCAAGGAGGGCGTGTACATCTACGGCCTCTTCCTCGATGGCGCTGGCTGGGACAAGCGCAACAGCCAGCTCACAGACCCGCCACCCAAGGTGCTCTACACCCCGCTGCCTGTGCTGCACCTCTCCGCCATCAATTCCACCGCCGATCGTGACAAGCGCCTGTACGAGTGCCCCGTGTACCGCAAACCGCGCCGTACCGACCTCGAGTTTGTCACCATGGTTGACCTCAAGACCCCAGTGCCCCCAGAAAAGTGGATTCTGCGCGGTGTCGCCTTGCTTTGTGACACCAAGTGAAGCGAAGGGAGAGGAATCCACACGTGTTTGCGTTTGCGTTCGTGTGTGTGTGTGTGTGTGTGTGTGTGTGTGTGTGTGTGTGTGTGTGTGTGTGTGTGTGTGTGTGTGTGTGTGTGTGCTTACTGCTTGTGTTTTGTTTGCATGTGTGAGAAGTACGAATGATTGAAACGAAGAAAGGCATGCAAGCAATGGCAAGGAGGAAGGCAGTGTGTGGGGTGTGCTAAAACTATGATAACGTCCTATAAATGTTTGTGAAATGAGCTCCCTTTCTTCTGAATGTTAGCGAAAACAGAAGATAGCAACGCAACGTGGTGACGTGGCAGTGTTTGTTGAGAGTTGTGTGGTTATGTGGTGTGTTATGCAAGAGCATGTAACATCGAGCAACCACACAAGCTAAACACTGCACGTGCAACAGGTTGGAGGGAAATCACGTGAACATTCCAGAACACAAGAGAGGTGAATGTGAATTTGTGGTGTCGTGAAGAAGGGAGGTCAATGATGACTCAGCAGACAGGACTTGCCTGTCAACACTCCCCCGCATTGACCTACCTCTCTGCTGCGTTGATGTTCTGAAACGTGATGAGCATGTGGATGATGTCATGCATGTAGTGTTGAGATTCAGTGAGTTTCTGTTCTGTGTTAAGTCCTTCCTAATTTGCCTTCGCGTGTGGTTTTGTCTTGTTTGCCAACGGTGCGC